CAAGGTTCATATGGTTCAGGTATGCAGCTGTTCCAAGATTTGATTCAGCAATCATAAAATTTGGGAAATCTTAAGTAGAAGAATAGGTACAGGAAGGGAATTTGTTTAAACGTTCTTTTTTTTTTTTTAAGATTTTATTTATTTATTTGACAGAGAGACAGTGAGAGAGAGAACACAAATGGGGAGTGGGAGAGGGAGAAGCAGTCTTCCCGTGGAACAGGGAGCCCGATGCGGGGCTTGATCCCAGCACCCTGGGATCATGACCTGAGCTGAAGGCAGACACTTAACGACTGAGCCACCCAGGCGCCCCAGTCCATTGGTTCTTAAACTTTAGCAAGTATCACATTCACCTGGAAGGCTTGTTAAAACAAATTAAAGGATGGGCGCCTGGGTGGCTCAGATGTTAAGCATCTGCCTTCGGCTCAGGTCATGATCCCGAGGTCCTGGGATGGAGTCCCACATCGGGTTCCCTGCTCAGCGGGGAGCCTGCTTCTCTCCCTGCCTCTGCCTCTCTCTCTCTCCCTGTCTGTCATGAATAAATAAATAAAATCTTAAAAAAACAAAAACAAATTAAAGGACTCCATACCCAGAGTTTTTGGTTTAGTAAGTGGAGGTGGGACCTGAACATATACACTTCTAACAAGTTCCATGTCATGCTGATGATGCTGATTGGAACTACACTTTGAAAATCAGTACTTTAGCCTAGTTCTCTGAAATATCAGTCTTCTCTGATAAACCTGTAGCAGAAACTGTGTGATAGACAGTGACAGTTGAGGTTCCCTGAAGAGTAGATGGGTTGGTCTTTTGTCTTGTTTTTTTATAGCTTTTTTTGAGATATGGTTTACATACCATAAAACTAACCCATTTGTGTATTGTTTCATGCGTTTCAGTGACTTTGTATAGTTATATAGTAGCACCAGAATTCAGTTTTAGAACAATTTATCATGCTAGCGAGTTCCCTCATGATCATTTACAGTCACTCTTCCATTATTATGAAAAATGCTATTTTGAACATTCTTGTACAAGAGATGCCCCATCATTTTAATTAAGAAGGTTTAACATCCAAATGATATTCATATAGCATCCTAGGCTTATAGTTGATTAAAAAACAACTTTATTATATTCTTGTTCCCTAATTACTTATATTTCTAGTAATAAAATTTTTATATCTACTATAAATATTTTATGTACTTGCAGTTATCTTGTTTTTTTTGATAATTTTTTTTTAAGATTTTATTTATTTATTCCTAAGAGACACAGAGAGAGAGAGAGAGAGAGGCAGAGGGAGAAGCAGGCTCCCAAGGAGCAGGGAGCCCGATGCGGGACTCGATCCCAGGACCCTGGGATCATGACCTGAGCCGAAGGCATACGCTTAGCCATCTGAGCCACCCAGGCGCCCTTTTTTGATAATTTTATCTCAAAATATTGTAAATTGGTATAGATGTGCTGTAAAAATTTTGTAAAATGTTTCTTTTGAGATAACACTCTATAGGTCCTAGTCTTCACAAAATTGACATATCTGCTCTTATGGGTGGGTAAAATTTACACGTAAATAAGTCTGGAATAAAATAAATATAAAACTGAAATTTAATTTTTCATATGGAAATGTTCAGATAAAATCAGAAGTAGAGAGGACTGTTTAATGAACCCTATGTAATTATCTTACCTAATTTCAACAGTTGTTAATAGTTTGACATTCATTTTTCATCTGTACCTTGTTCCCCATATGTTTCTGGTATTTCATGTTGAATCTTATTTCATTCAAATAAATATCATTTCTTCTGCAAGTACTTCATCGTATATCACAATGTGCAGTTTTTGTTTGGTTTTCCCTGATGTTTAGTATATATCTTTTTTTTTTTAAATCTTTTTTTTAAAAAGATTTTATTTATTTATTTGAGAGAGATTGAGAGAGAGAGAGCACATGAGAGGGGATAGGGTCAGAGGGAGAAGCAGACTCCCTGCCAAGCAGGGAGCCCGATGCGGGACTCGATCCTGGGACTCCAGGATCATGACCTGAGCTGAAGGCAGTCGCTTAACCAACTGAGCCACCCTAGTATATATCTTTTCAAGTTGGTTGTTTGAATCAGGAACAAAGAAACATGCTTTCCATTTGATCAATAGGACAGTTAAGTTACTCTTAATCTGTAAGCATTCATCTTCTCTAATTTTTCCATTCCAATGACTCGTTGAAGAAACTGGTTAATTTATCATAAGATTTATGATCCGGATTTACCTGTTTGTATCTTCATGTCAATCAGTATGTTCCTTTATCTCCTCTGTTCCCTATGAACTAGTATTTAGATGTAGAAGATTAGTATATTCAGGATTTTTATTTCTCTGGTGGCAAGACTGTTTCTTAGAAGGAGCTATTTACTTCCAATTATATCATACAGTGTCTTTTAGGCTCTCTTTTTTTTTCTTTAAAGATTTTATTTATTTATTTGACAGAGAGAGACACAGTGAGAAAGGGAACACAAGCAGGGGGAGTGGGAGAGGGAGAAGCAGGCTTCCCGTGGAGCAGGGAGCCCAATCTGGGGCTCGATCCCAGGACCCTGTGACTATGACCCGAGCCGAAGGCAGACGCTTAATGACTGAGCCACCCAGGCACCCTCTTTTAGGCTCTCTTTTGCTGCTGCTATGATTGATCATTGGGTTTAAATGTTATTGGCCTGATCCATTCATCATAAAGTTTCCCTTAAACTTTTTTTTTCTAAAGACTTTTTTTTAAAGAACAATTCTAGGGTCACAGAAAAATTAAGCATAAGATACAGAGATTTCCCATTTTCTCCCTGCCCTGAGCTTACATGATCATCACCTATCTGGTGAAGGATGCTGCTTCCTCATAGCAATAACCCACATCAGAGTGGTACATTTGTTACAATTGATGAACCTACACCAACACATCATTATTACCCAAAGTCCATAGTTTACATTAGGGTTCACTCTTGGCGTTGTACGTTCTTTGGGTTTTGACAAATGTATAATGACATGTATCCATGACTATAGTATCATACAAACTAAAAATCCTGTGTGTTTCACCTATTCACATTTCCCCCACCATACCTCCAACCCTTGGCAACCATTGATTTTTCTACTGTTTCCATAGTTTTCCTTTCCCAGAATATTGAATAGTTGGAATCCTACAGTGTGTCGCCTTTTCACATTGGTTTCTCTCACTTAGTGATATGCATTTGAAGTTCATCCATGTCTTTTCATGGCTTGATAGCTCATATGTTTTTAACACTGCATAATATTCCATTGTCTGGATATACCATAGTTTGTCCATTCACCTACTGAAGGACATCTTCATTGGTCCCAAGTTTTGGCAGTTATGAATAAAGCTACCTAAACATCCATGTGCAAGTTTTTGTGTGGACATAAGTTTTTAGCTTCTTTGAATATGTACCAAAGAGGCTGATTCCTAGATCATATGGTAAGAGTATATTTAGTTTTATACAAAACTGCCAAACTGTCTTCCAAAGTGACTGTATCATTTTGCATTCCCACCACTAATGAATAAGAGATCTTGTTGCTCCATATCCTTGCCAGCATTTGGTGTTGCCAGTGTTCTGGATTTTGGCCATGCTCACAGGTATGTAGTGGTAGAATTTGAATAATTAAGTCTCAAAATATGACTGTAAAAGCTTGCAAAATGATACATGTAGTATGATGTCACTCATGTAAAGTTAATTATGCAAAATAATGTTGTTATATATATAAAAATACATAGATATTACATAGATAAAAATACCAAATTTGAAAGCCTGGTTATCTCTGAGGAGGAAAAGTGAAATGGGGTTGGGGAAGGTTATATAGTGGGCTTCAGCCTATTTTTCTTTAAAAAAAGTCAGAAACAGATATGACAAAATTAAAATTCAGTAAAGTAGGTGATGTACAGATAAGTGTTTATTTTTTATTCTTACATATTAAATGTTTCTAATGAAAAAATCTTTTGAGAGTAGAAAATTTCAGAATTAAAGAAAGTAAAATACTTTCTTAGCATCTAAATACATTTTAGCTAGTTTTTTTTGTTTTGCAGATTTGAGTGATGAATTAGCCCAGAAGCTGTTTGATGTTTCAGAAATATCTTCAGCAGCAATGGCCCATTCATTGCCCACAGCAGTTCCAGAATCTCCTAGAATTAATCCTGCAAGGACACCTAAAACACCTCGAACACCCAGGTTACAAGATCCAAACAAAACACCAAGATTTTATCCTGTTGTTAAAGAACCAAAAGCTATTGATGTAAAGGTACACAAAACAACCAGGAATATAAAGCATGCATTTTATATCCTTTAACATTACAAAATGAGACTTTTTAGTTTCTATCATTTTTTTTAAATATATATTTTAGACTGTAAGAATTCGCTTAAAAATGGCATTTTACCCTAGTGATGTTTTCTCAGGTTAAGGAATAACTTCTTTACAATTTGTAGTGTAATTAATGTCGATCAGAAGGTATAATGAAGAATCATACTAAGTTGTATTTCCTTTAATCCTTGTGTTGAAACCTAGCAAAGGACCTTCTTTGTTAAGTTTTGTAACTTGTGAGATACTGAGTTTTGTGACTTCATGTGATTTCATAATGTGTCATCCACAGTATGAAAATGTTTGAGCTAGTTTACAGTCAGAGGGTTTTAATTTACTTGTGAAGTTCACACTACTGAAATAATTGCAATGTTTGACTTCTTTTTCTCTAGAGTCCAAGAAAGAGAAAAACAAGACATAGTACAAATCCCCCTCTAGAGTGTCATGTTGGTTGGGTAATGGATTCCAGAGATCACGGGCCAAGAACATCTGTCAGGTACTATATTTGTCAAACATGGCTTTGTTTTTGATTTTAAGTTGAAAACAGTTACTAATTAGGCATTTGGAATATTTAAAAATTTATATGTTAGCAAAGTATGGAACAATGAAAATAGTTTTTAAAAAGAAGCCAAAGGAAAGGAAATAAGTGGGACAATTTTCCAATAAGTACATTAAGGAATACTTGAGTAGGACAATCTTTTTTCCATTTAAACTAGTTTCCACAAATGTGTACTCTTAGATAAAAAATATATAAGTTTATGAAAGATTCCAGATTCTCAGTGGCATTAATTCTTAGTGAATTAATGTGCTAAACAACCTACTCAAACTATATAAAGAATATGGAAATAAAACACATTGTTATTTTGAAATTTTTCCTTTTGGGGAAAATAGATTAGCTGACTGTAGTAGTAAGTGGTTTTTCTTTTAGCTTTAATTTTTTAAAAAAAGACTATTACTTACCTCAAAAGAGATGATAGAGCAAACATTTGATAGTGCCAGTTGTACAATATAATATGGTATGTTTTGGGGCACCTGGGTGGCTCAGTCGTTAGGCGTCTGCCTTCGGCTCAGGTCATGATCCCAGGGTCCTGGGATCAAGCCCCGCATCAGGCTCCCTGCTTGGTGGGAAGCCTGATTCTCCCTCTCCCACTCCCCCTGCTTGTGTTCCCTCTCTCGCTGTCTCTCTCTCTGTCAAATGAATAAATAAATAAATAAATAAATCTTAAAAAAAAAAATATGGTATGTTTTGTCCCGTACAGTGGATGCAGAGGTGATTTGCTGCTAATTGCTTTGTGTTCCTTGTACACACATTTTGTGTTTGTGTAGATATTTTCAGAATAATTATCTGACCAACTTTCTAAATGAAAACTTAGCTTCAGGAAAAAGTGTTCTTTGATTGGTTACTAGAAGGGAAGGATAAATAGTTTCAGTCAAAGAAAAGCTAGTGAGTTTATCATGATTTGAAAATCTCCACCTGTGTCTTTCCAGTGATATTTATTTGGTACTTTTACATTTTGTTCTTATTGATATAGTATCCTTAAAAGATAAAATGTGTATATGTTTTTTGCACGCCTATTGTATACTTAGGGTTATTGTGTTCTAAGTGATTTTGAGTTTATTTTCCAGGATTTTTTTTTAAAAGATTTTTATTTATTAGAAAGAGAGAAAGAACGAACAAGGGGACAGACAGAGGGAGAAGCAGGCTTCCCACTGAGCAGAGAGCCTGACAACGCAGGGTTCGATCCCAGGTTTGGGATTATGACCTGAACTGAAGACAGACACTTAACCGACTGAGCCACCCGGGCACCCCTCCAGGGTTTTTTTTTTTTTTATCTTATCAGAGCAGTATATTTAGAGATCAACAAATAATGGTGAAAGATGTTTAGTCAATAACATTTAGTTTAGTTAGAACATTTAATGGAATGTTTAGTTAGGAATATGTTCCTTACAATTCATTTTTTATTATGTTATATCTTTTGTTATTAATAATTCATCTGTATAGTGATTTATTCATTCCCAGGCACCACTCCACCTTCTCCCACAAGTAAAATGTATCAGGAAAGCAGGGGCTTAACATTGTGTTGGGCACATTCCTAGGCACTGAGTAAACAGCAGGGAACAAGATAATTACAGTCCCTGCCTTTCTGGAGCTTAATACAGGGGTGACAGACAAGTATTTATAATAATGACTAAATTTTTTTAATTGATCTATTTTTATTTATTTATTTATTTTTAAATTTTATTTATTTATTTGAGAGAATGAATGAGAGAGAGTACATGAGACGGGGGGAAGGTCAGAGGGAGAAGCAGACTCCCTGCCGAGCAGGGAGCCCAATGCGGGACTCGATCCTGGGGCTCCAGGATCATGACCTGAGCTGAAGGCAGTCGCTTAACCAACTGAGCCACCCAGGCGCCCTAATTGATCTATTTTTTATAGTAGTTTTAGGTTCAGAGGAAATATTGAGTGGAAGGTACTGAGAGTTCCCTTATACTCCCTGCATTCCTTGCCTTCCACACCACAGCCTCGTCCACTATCAACATGCATATGTTTAGATCATCTACATTAATGTACTTATGGATATGGTTGGATTTAAATCTACCATTTTATATTCTACTTATCTCATCTTTGGTTTTTTTCCTTCCATCTTTTGGATCAGTTGAGTTTTTATAATAATTCTATTTTATCTTTACCATTGGCTTCTCAGTTACATCTTATTTTTTACTGGTCTTCTACTGTTCATAATGTACATTTCAACTTAGTCTACTTTCAAATAATATTATACCACTACATGTATAGCATAAGAATCTTGATATCGTAAAGTTCCATTTCCTTCCATCCTCTGTGCTATGCTTTGTTACTACTTTTCTTTAGATAGTTATATTTTAAAGACATGAGAAATTTTTATTTTATTTATTTATTAATTTAGATTTTATTTATTTGAGAGAGAGAGAGTGCATGGGGGGGTGAGAAGGGAGAGGCAGACTCCCTGCTGAGCAGGGAGCCAGATGATCAGACATCCCTGGGGCTCAATCCCAGGACCCTGAGACCATGACCTGAACTGAAAGCAGACACTTAACTGTTGAGCCACACAGGCGCCCCAATGTGAGAAATTTTTAAAACATTTGCTCTCATTTTTACCATTTCTAATGCTCTTACTTTTTTTTTTAATTAAAAGATTTTATTTATTTATTTGACAGAGAGACACAGCGAGAGAGGGAACACAAGCAGGGGGAGTGGGAGAGGCAGAAGCAGGCTCCCTGCTAAGCAGGGAGCCTGATGTGGAGCTCCATCCCAGGACCCTGGGATCATGACCTGAGCCGAAGTCTTAACGCTTAATGACTGAGCCACCCAGGCATTCTAGTGCTCTTCATTTTCTTAAACATTTCTTGTTGTGCAGGTCTATTAGCAGTGGATTGTGTCAACTTTTGTTTATCAGGAGAAGTTTGTTTTTTTCTATTTTGAAAGATATTCTTATTGAGTATAAAATTCTTTGATGGATCTAGGTATGGATACGGTTATATATGTATATATGTGTGTGGCACACAAGGTATTTATCCAAGTTATTGGATTTATTGTTTGTTGTCTTTTATTCAGTTAGGATAATTTTCATCTCTTATCTCTTCAAGTATTTTTGGCCCTGTGTTCTTGTTGTTTGTTCCTCCTTCTTCTGGGAATCCATTTACATGTACATTAGACCATCTTTTTTTCTACTTTTTCTCTTTGTAATTCATGTTGGTTAATTTTGATTGACCCATGTTCAAATATACTTTCGCTGTGTCCAGTCTCCTGATAAGTTCATCACAGGAATCTTCCATTTCTGATATTGTGCTTCATATATTTTGTATTACCATTTGACTTCTTAATAATCTTCTTTTCCTACTGAGATTCTGTATCATGCATGTTGTTCTCCTTTCCATGAGTTCCTTCAACATATTAATCTAATCATAGTTATATTAAAGTCCACTGTGTGATCATACCAGTAGGTGGGTCATCTGCTGTAAATCTCGTTGTTTTTTCTTTGCATTATCTTTTGATTAAAATTTTAATTTTCTTGTCTTTTTCTGTCTCATAAATTTTGATTGAATTCTGGATTCTTGCTTTTAGACTTATTTTATGCCTCTAATAGCTCCACATCTCAAACTGAATAAACCCTGATCTCTTCCCATTATATTTGTTCCTAATCTGCAGAATGTTGCTAAAATAAATCCTAGGCTGATTGTTATGAATATAGATTCATATACTCCAGTTATACTTAGATCCCCAGTACAGTATTATAATTTTATTTTCTCCTATGATTTTTTAATAACATTTTCTTTTCCCCGGCTTATTTTATTATAAGATTATAGTATATAATACATATAACATACAAAGTATGTGTTAACTGTGTATGTTATCGGCAAGGCTTCTGGTCCACGGTAGGCTATTAGTAGTTAAGTTTTTAGGGAGTCAAAAGTTACATGTGGATTTTTGACTGTGTAGGGTGTCAGCACCCCTAACTCCTGCATTGTTCAAGGGTTAATTGTATAAACATATATGTAACTAATAACAGCCCCAGCAAAAATTGGGGCACCTGGGTGGCTTAGTCAGTTGAGCATCCAGCTCTTAATTTCAGCTCAGCTCATGATCTCAGGGTTGTGGAATCTAGCCCTGTGTCAGGCTCCATGCTTAGCAGGGAGTCTGCTTGAGATTCTCTCCCTCTGCCCTTCCCCACTGCTCTCTCTCAAATAAATAAATCTTTTTAAAAAAGATATATAAAGCAAAAACTGAAAAAATTGGAGGGAGAAATAAACAGTTCTACAAGAATAGTTGGAGATTTCAATACACTACTTTCAATAATGCATAGACCAACTTGACATAAGATGAGTAACAAAATAGAGGACTTGAACAACACAATAAACCAATTAGACCTAACAGATACATATAGAATATTCTACCCAACAACAGCACAGATTACACATTCTTAAGTACACACAGGACATTCTCCACAATAGACCATGTGTTAGGCCAAAACAAAAACTTTAGTACATTTTAAATGAGATACCATATAAGGTATCTTCTCTGACTGCAATATAATGAAGTTAGTAGAAATCTATAACAGAAGTAAAACTGGAAAAATCACAAATATGTGGCAATTAAAACACTTTTAATCCATGAGTCAAAGATGAAATCATAAAGGAAATTAGAAAATACTTAGAGATATATGAAAGTGAAAACATAGCATACCAAATCTTAATGGAATGCAAGGAGAGCAGTGTTCAGAGGGAAATTTATAGCTATAAATGCCTACATTTAAAAAGAAAAGAGATCACAAATCAGTAACCTAACATATTTTAAGAAACTTGAAAATGAAGAGCAAAATAAACCCAAAGTTAGCAGAAGGGAGGAAGGAAATGTTGAAAATGAGAGCAAAAATAAACAATAAAGAGAAGAGAAAAACAGAGAAGGTCAGTAAAAACAAATGTTGGTTCTTTGAGAAGATCAACAAAACTAACAAA